ATGGCTGAGCAAATGCAGGCTAGATACCCACACCATGGTAACCCTTTGCAAAAAGCCCCCAAACTCCCTTGAACCAAAAAACGCATCTGATGTTCCATCAGCTCCCCCTCTTCCCCCTTACTCAGCTACCTCACACACTAGACATCGTCCCACAGGACTGTTCCCCCTCCAGTTAATTCCTGGAGGGGATAGGGCTCATGTTCCTTTTAGAGTGAGTGAACTTAAAGAAATAAAAAAGGATTTAGGAAATTACACAGAAAACCCAGATCAGTACATCCAGGCATTTAGAGAAGTCAGCCAAAACTTTGAACTGAGCTGGAAAGATGTAATGCTATTGCTATCTCAGACCCTCACTTCTCTGGAGAAACAGCGGGTTCTAGATCAGGCAGTCATAGCTGGAGACAATTATCACTTAGATAAAAGTGGCCATACAGGCCTGACTCAGACTGGGCCCTCACAGGAGGAGGAGGAGGGGGAGGGAGAAGAAAGACAAAGACACTGGATACCTAGAAGGGAACCTCGATTCCCAATCCCAACAGGAGATCAGGCAGTGCCTAGGTATGACCCTCAGTAGGACCCTGAAAATGACAAGGATGAAGGGAGTCATAACCATTTCATCCACTGCATTCTTGAGGGTCTAAGGAGAGCTGAGGTAAAACCTTTAATTACTCCCAAGTCATGGCTGTACAGGAAGGACCTGTAGAAACCCCAGTAGCTTTCCTACAGAGTTAAGAATGCTTTACAAAAGCATACCAACATTGTACCAGAGTCACAGGAAGAGGAAATCATCCTAAAACATAAATTTCTAACACAGTCAGCACCAGATATCCATAAAAAGCTTCAGAAACTGGTGGCTGAAGGGAGCAGAGATCTGAACCAATTGGTCCGTGTAGCCACATCTGTACACTATAACAGGGACTTAGAAGAAGAAAGGAAGAACCTGGAAAAGGAAAAGAGAAAGGATAAGAGGCAGGAGGCTCTGATCGCAGCGCTCAGAGAGGCTTCCCTGGGGCAAAGTCCAAACCCGAGGACATGCTTTCAATGTGGACAGGCCAGCCATTTTAGGACGGAGTGCCCCCCGAGAAAGCTACCTCCAGGACCCTGCCCCATTTGTCGGGGAAAACACTGGAAGGCACACTGTCCCTGCTTCCCCTGGGAACCGAAGCCAGAGCCTCCCGCCTGATGATGGGTCCCCGGGTCTCCCATCCAGGCTCTGTAACCATCGTAAAAGCAGAGGAGCCCTGGGTTAAGCACAAGGTCAGCCTCCATCACTACTGGAGCCAGCATCTCAGCTCTTCCTTTCTCCCGGACCCAGGTCCTCCAAGAACGTTATTTCACTCAGCCTTTAGCCTGCTTCTGGGAGATTTCCATTTCTGTCACTCCTTTTTAATTGTCCCAGAAACTCCTATTCCTCTGCTAGGGCGAGAGACCTTTTGTCTAAATTGGGGGTACAGCTCCTTTTACACCCAGGAGAGTACTTTTGCTTGCCCCTGATAGAGGAACAAGTGGACCCCACAGTGTGGATGGATGGACACACTGTGGACCGGCACGAACAGCTGCCCTAGTCCTAATTCATCTCAAGGATCCCTCCTGGTTTCCCCATCAAAACCAATATCCTTGGTTAAGGAGGGGCTAATTCCCATAATCAAAGACTTAAAGAGACAGGGACTGCTAATAGAATGCTCCAGCCCATATAATACTTCTATTCTTGGTGTCAGGAAGGGACCTAACAAATGGAGGCTAGTCCAGGATCTCCGCCTGATCAATGAAGCAGCACTGCCTCTCTACCCTGTAGTTCCAAATCCCTGTACATTTTTAGCCCAAATACCTCCAGGTACCGCTTACTACTCTGTCCTGGATTTAAAGGATGCCTTCTTTTGCATTCTCTTATACCCTAAAAGTCAACCTATCTTTGCCTTTGAGGACCCCACAAGAAAGTCTGGACAGGTCACTTGGACTGTCCTCCCCAGGGTTTCAGAGACAGCCCTCACCTATTTGGGTTAGCTCTAACCCAAGACTTGGCAGAATGGCCACAAGCTACTCTGCTACAATATGTAGATGATCTCCTGCTCTGTGGACCAAATGAGCCTGTCATTTCACGAGCCACTGAGTCCTTACTAAACTTCTTAGCAGATAGAGGTTATAAGATCTCTAAAGAAAAAGCCCAATTGTGTCAGTCTAGGGTTACATATTTAGGTCTTGTCCTGGAGAAAGAAATGAGGTCTCTAGAAGACAGAATCTGTCCAATCCTGATGTTTCCTCTACCTAAAACTCTAAAGCAACTGAGGGCCTTTTTGGGGGTCACAGGATACTATAGAGTTTGGATCCCAGGATATGCAGATCTAGCCAGGCCCCTATATCAAATCCTTAAGGAAGCACAGAAGGATACCCAGCCCTTTACTGAATGGGATGACAAGTCAGAAAATGCATTCCACAGGTTAAAGAAAGCTCTTATGACAGCTCCTGTCCTGGGTCTCCCAGTACAAGACAAGTTTCAATTATATGTCTATGAAAAGGAAGGACTGGCCTTGGGAGTGGTGACTCAGCTCTGGGGCATCACTCCCCAGCCAGTAGGCTATTTAAGCAAAGAGTTAGCTCAGGTAGCCAAGGGATGGCCAGGATGCCTTAGAGCAATGGCTATTGTAAGCCTTTTAGTGCCTGAAGTTCAAAAACTTATCCTAAACTGCCCCCCTCCGGTTTATACCCCACATGACCTAGGGGGAATTCAAAACTCAAAAGGGGAACTTTGGCTATCTGACAGCTGTCTACTTAAATACCAGGCCCAGGTTCTGGGAGGGACAGAAATAACTTTAAGGACCTGTCAGAGCCTAAATCCTGCATCCCTTCTACCACAGGCAGAGGGAAATCCTGAATACTCATGTGAGGAGGTACTTATGGAAAATTATGCTGCCCTACCTGACTTAACTGATCGGCCCTTAAAAAACCCAGATCTAGAATTATACAACGATGGCACTTCCTTTGTCAAGAATGGTGTCAGACATGCAGGGTTTGCAGTCATGACAGAATTTGGTATCCTCAAATCGGTCCTCTTCCTCCTAATTCAAGTGCTCAGTTGGCAGAATTAGTGGCCCTAACAGAAGCCCTAAAACTGTCAAAAAATCAGAGAGTCAACATCTATACAGATTCTAAGTATGCCTTCCTGATCCTGCATGCTCATGCAGCCATCTGGAAGGAAAGGGGAATGCTAACTACAACAGGAACAGCTTCCCAAAAAGATAAAAGAGAGGTTACTTTAATAGTTTTAGGGATAACAGCATTGATTGCAGCCCTTGCTGGAATCAGCTATGGGGTGATTGCCAGTCACGTAACTGCAAAAAACCTAATCAATGTGGTGGAGGACACCTCAGACCAGGTAAGTCTTGCCATTAAGGACATGCAAAGGTCTTTGTCGTCCTTTACCTGTATGGTAATGGACCACCGCCTGGCCCTAGATTTTCTTTTGGCCAAACAAGGGGGAGTATGTGCCATTGCCAATACTTCCTGTTGCACATACATAAACACTTCAGGCATTGTAGAGGAATGGGCAGATTACATTCTCCAAGAGGCTAAGTGGCTCCGGGAGCAATCTCTTGAAACTCAGGTTTCCATACAGGTATGGGACCAAATAAAATCCTGGCTCCCCTCCAGGACTTGGTTCCTACCCTTTCTGGGGCCTATAGTTGCCATTATTCTCTTGCTTGTATTTGGGCCTTGCATTTTAAACTTACTTGTCAAGTTTGTTTCTTTTGCCTAGAATCCATCAAACTACAAATGCCTCTGATGGAGATGAAAACAACCTACTACCCTGTTCCCCTTGACAACCCCTCTCATGGGCAGCCCTGATTCTGTGGACCCCTTCATCGCCCCCTGTCAGCAGGAAGCAGTCACTGAATAGAATTCATCGTCCTTATTCCTAAGAGCAGTCAGGGAGGTCACTGAGGGAGGTCAAGGAGACACTTCTCCTCCCTAGGGAATGCCTGTCTGCATCTGAAAGGCTTCTCTGGTCTCAGGCTATGCAAAAAAAGGCTGTAAAACCCCACCCCTCACCCTGACCAAGGGGATCACAGGTTTTAGGGTCCCCCTGCATTCCCCAATATGCAATCTTTCTCTTCTCTTCTCTACAAATAAAATCTTTCTGACCTCTGCTGTTGGAGTCTATCTGTGCTTTCATTCTCAGAGCAGGTTCAAGAACCCTGAGCACCTGAAGTTCCTGCGCGTGTCATCCGTGCATCACTCAGAGGTGATGCTGAAGTTGGCTTGCTGGTGACTATACTATCGGCTCTCTTGCCTTCCCTGACCAGCCTCACACTCCCTCCTGCTGCCCTGTGTTTGCACTTGATTATGAAGCAGCCTTGCCTTTGGTTCTGATCTGAAAAAAATCCAGGCTAGGGTGGCTTCTGACCAATTATCCCTGTTCTTTCCAGGACACTTCCTAGTGTCTGCAGATCTGAAATCGAATCGGCAGGCTCAAGAGACAGCACTCATGGTATCCAGAGAGGTAGCTGGTAGTGATCCTTAGCCAGGACAGGTCTTCAAGTCTTGAAAGCTGCTATCTTGGCAGAAGGATTTCGGAGGCAGCCAGGCTGAATTGAGAAAGCAATTAAGAGTGGGGAGTCACAAGAGTCTAAGACTAAAGTGATTGTTCAATAGCATGGCTAAATAAATGAGTTAATAGGCGTGCTTCCTCCTTTGCATCCTCTGAACCATCCTCAGCTTAGGCTGTTCGTCCCTAGTTCCTTTTTAGGCAGCACAGTTTCTCAGCACAAGTTCCCTTTGCATCCCTCCTCGTCCCGCCCATCGCCTTGTCCGGTGCAGAGCGCCCCCTGGCGCCTGCAGTTGAGCCTGCGGCGGTTCGCCACGCCTCCCCTGTTTCTGTCGGCCCACAGGGAGTTGCCTGTCCCTTTAATTGGCATGTACCAAGTTCCTCTCGGTTGTATTTCCTCCCTGAGTCTCCGTCCTTCGGTATCGTTGGTCAGAGGTCCAGTAGAAGGAGTGTGGAGACACAGTTGTATTTCTGGGGAGTTCTGTGCCGACAGGGGCTGAGACAGGGTACGGGGAGAAGCACGCCACCGAGGCCCTCCCCGCCTCGTGCCATCGTTCAGTCCCAAGATGGCGGCCACCATGAAGAAGGCGGTGAGTGCGGCGCTCGGGCGCTGGACGCGCGGGCGGTGGCCGGGGCGCCGCAGCGGGGCAACGGGTGCGGGGTTTGGGGTGTGCCGTTCGGGGCCCGGGGTGGGGCGCAGCCATGGCCCCCCACACCGAAGGCGGCCCCGCGACAAGGCCCGCCCGGCGCCCCGGGCGTCCTCCTGGGCCCCCGGCCTCAGCGGGGCTTGGACCGCGGCCCTCGGGGGGACTCTGGGCCGCCTTCGGCCTCTCGCGGGGAGGTGGAGATCGGGAGACCCCACAACCCAGGCCTTCTTTGGGGTGCGGGAATCCTAAGGCTCCTTGCGTTGTGATGGCCTTTGTGCTGTATGCGCCACCCAGCCCTCACACGGACCCCCAGGTCCACGGGGCGGGGGTTACAGTACCGGGGTTCCCCGGGGGGAAACTGAGGCCCGAGAGGTGCAGCAAGCTGCCCAAGGTCACGCAGCGCGGAAGGGACAGGTCGGTCACGGCAGCCCCTGTGCGCCAGGCCGAGTGCCCACGCCCATCCTGGACGCTCCTGTGCCTCCAAGGCCAAAGCCATGGAGGATAAAGATGTCGGGTCCTGCAGCCCCCCGTTTGTTACCTGTGACCACCCAGCGACCCAGCAAGGTCACGGGTTTGCCCCCACTTTGCAGACGGAGACATCTTAAGACACGGAGCACTTTGTGAGCCCCTGGTGACTCTGCTGGAATTCAAACCCAGGTGGCTTTCCCCAGCTCACATCTTTTTAGCATATATGTATTTATTTATTTATTTAAAAATGACACGTGATAGTTGAGCGTGTTTCTGGGGTACGGTGCGATCTTTTATCATATATTTTCAGCCATTAAAGCAAGCTACACTTCCCTGATGTGAGTGTTCCCCGATGCTTAATGATAACCCAGATGGAAGAAAAGTGACATTGAAGGAAGTAGTGACAGCTCATGAAATCCGATGCTTCACTGTGTGCTCTGTGTTGCATGTATTACTTAATTTGATTCAATTTTGAGAGTTTTTATCCTTATTTAGCCAATGGGGGAGACTGAAGCCCAGAGGCAAAGCAAGGATTTAGGCAGGAGCTGTCTCTCCAGCCTGTTTGTGACTGCGGTGGGGTCGCCTGAGCAGGTGCTGGGGAAGAGATTTGCTTTGCAGGGTTCGAGCATTGGGGTTCTCACACCATTAGAATGCACTCTGATGTCTTACTGCCTGGTACAGCATAGTCAGTGCCTCTCCCTGCTGCGGGGTAGCTGCCATCTTAATCTGTCTGAGATTGAGGGATTGCCAAAATTGGAAAAACCCCTGGTAACTCAGGATGAGTTACTGTACTGGAGTTTGAACTCAGGGCCTTATGCTTGCTCTGCAGGTGCTCTAACACTTGAGCTTCGCCACCAGCCCAACCACACCTTCTTCCGAAGTAGTCCACAGCCATGGTGATTCAGGCCAGTGTGAGACCCACTTCACCCTTTTGTGAAATGGGCCCTCTATGGTCAGGTACCCTTTAACTCTATGGAGGGTCCTGTTGTGGTTTGTCCTTAATTTACAGGTGTGGAAACAAGTGCAGCCATGATGTCAACACCGAGGGAGTGGTAGAATGATTTAAACCTTGAACTTTGCAAAATTTCTTATTACCAACTTTTTTTCTTTTCATTCATTCAATAATTTTTTGGAGTGTGTAATAGGGCAGTCTTGGTTTTAGCTTTGAGGTGAGCAGTAACGTGTTTCTTGACACCTTAGCCTCCTAGCATGGTAGAACTAAGCTCCAGGCGAGGCAGGTGTTACTCAAATGGCCACACCACAGACTTAAAATTTCCAGCTCTGATGAGAACTGTGAAGGAAAAATACTTGTGTGATGAGGGATGACATGAGTCTGGTGTCTTTTGAGATCAGAGAAAATGGTGAGATGGTGTCTTAAATTGAGAACTTTGAGATTACTTAGAGAGGGGAAGGGATAGGGAGAGAGGCATTCCAGTGGGAATATCTTATGCAAATACCAGGCAGATTTTATAAAAGGGAAGAGCAACGTGCAGAGAACCAGGCGATGGATATGATGAGAAAATGTGTATATAGAATGTGGGTGGTGGGTCACCTTTATCTTAGAAGCCATTAAGGCTTGCACCATAGATGTAATGCCATCCTGTAGGTGTTCCCAGTGTTAGGAACAGTGTCCCCCCTCTGTCCTTTCAGAGAAAACGCACACATGGATTTAATAAAAAACAGATTATTTGTGATCTGAAACACTTAATATTTGTAACACATTTTATCTCCCAGTTGGTCATGACTTTATTGGTCGAATGTTTAGACAAGATGATCCAGACATCTTGTCTTTAAAGTTGCTTTCTAAGGCTTGGGTCTTGGCCACAGACTGCTGCACTCCGATTTCGCTCACTGTCCTCAGTACAAATGTTCCCTCCCTGGAGAATCCGTCTTTGACCTCTCTATCCAAAGAAGCCCCCTTAATTTCTCACTTAATGAAAGTGTTCACCACTGAACTTTTTTATTCTCACTGTCACATTTGTCACCATCTAATATATCTTGTACATCTTATTTTTTGCCCACCTCCACCAGAATGTAAGCTGGCCAGTGTCAATGAGGGTAGGACTGTGAGTCTCTTGTCACAGTGCCTGGCACATTGGAACAATACTAAGTAATTGTTAATGCAGGAGCCTATGCATTAAAGATGAACAAGAAAACAATACTTTACATCATAGAGACTTGGTAGATACCTTTAAGAAAATAAAAATAAAAGCAGACTGAAATCACTACAATTTCCTTCTGGGGACTCACTCAGTTACCCAGACTCAGCATGGGACACAGCTGAGTATGGTTCAGTTCTTCTTGTGATTTCAGAAGATTAATTCTGAATAAAAGAGTCTGGGGAAATTTTTAATTCACTTGAATTTTGAGCAGTCATCTTTCTCTTAGACCTAGCAGATTTTCCTTCTACATCTGCATCGGTTTTTCCTTCGTATTGATTTTTGATAAACAATGCTCAGGAGATATCGTTTATTGAAAGGCAACTGCCTCTCCCCTGCCATCCTCCATACTCATTTTCTCACCCCTGAAAGTAGAAGGACCTTCATTTTACAGAAGATACATCCAAGGTGGGTCCCTTCATTTTACAGAAGATACATCCAAGGTGGGTCCACAGAATTGAGCAATTCGCCTTAAGTCCCTTCCTGTGTGGATTGGAGCCCATCCTGACTTTATAGGACGCTTGACTGCCATGTGCACTAGAGAACGGCTCCTTTGGTAGTGACTGCATCGCTTCTCTTAACGCAGGAGTCCATAAACTTTTGGGCTGTGAGTCTTTTGGAGAATCTAATGGAAGCTACCAAGTTCGTTCCAAGAGAATGAATATGCTGCTACACACCCAGTTTGCATGCAGTTTTGGGGAGTAAACTGACATCTCGATGTCTGTGAACCTCAAGTTAAAAATTACCTCCCTCCCTGGTGGTACATGTCTCTGGAGGCAGAATATGTTTGCTGGGAGTAAGGCTGGCTCCATGCAAAAGCACAAGACCCTATCTGAAACAAACTGAAACAAACAAAAAAAAAGGGCTGGAGGTGTGGTTTAAGTGATTGCTGAGGCCTTAAGTTCAAACCCTAGTAATGCTCCCCAAGTCCCTTCCCCACCAGAAAAAGAGAAAGAATTACCCTCTCCCTGTCAAAATGCAGGCTCAAGTAATAGTGTTCTGGGACAGTGAGATTCAAACAGAAGCCCTTGCTCTTACCTGTGGAAGGACTGACTTCCTGCCTCCTGCTGGGAGCCACCTGTGGTGTGGCATGCAGTTGCATTGGTGCCTGCTGGTGGCTGCTATGTGGGTGGTGGGTTGAGAGCTAAACAGGAAATGCCTGTTTGGAGGGATAGGAAACAGGTAAACAGCTTCTCTTAGCATTTTTCAGTAACTGTGCTTGAGTCTGATCCAGTGTGATTCAGATTCAGAAGCCATTAACCTCTGTGTGTCAGGCAGGTCCTGTCTAAGGTACTTTCACATGAATGACCCTTTAAAGTCCTCATGAAGATAAACACATCAACAAATTCGTGCTCAGATATATACACACACACTTTTAAGTGTTTTTGCACTGAATTTTCATTTGCTCGTGGACCTTTCTGTGGACTCAGTGTACTGAAATCCATTTTCATTGCTTACTGCCTATGTGGCTTTGGGCAAATGATTTAAACTCTGGCAAAGTTTTTCCATGTGTGAAATGGTAGTATTAGTGATCTCTTTCATAAGACTGGAGGATTAGAAGACTTGGTAAAGCATTTAGAATGTGCTTGGTACAAAGGAATGACTTAGTGTTGTTATCTTTATTTCATGCATATTTTGTCATCTAGACACTTTGTAAACTTAATCACGTTAAGTGTTAATTTTTAGTATCAATTTTCATCATATTATAGTGAATTAAATCTCACTAAGACATGTAAACAGGCTCTCCATTAAAACAAACACAATTCTTACTATGTATGGAGTTGTAGCCACCAAAATGCAGTGACCCCTAGCCCGGGGTAGCAGTTGGATTAAAAGCCACAGAAACTATCATACTTCTGCTCAACACCTTAACACAGCAGACTCATACAAGTTTTAACACTGTGGGAAAAAACCAAAACTGTGAGGCATTTACCAATGTTATTTGACCGCATAACTTACTGCTCCCTGGGTTATCTTGAGAGTGCTCCAACTTGGGAGATTCTGCTCTTGGCCAGAAGCTGACTAACTTTTCTTACCTTTTTGGTTTTTAAAAATGAATTATTAATTATATATTTCAATTGTTTTTATAGTTTATGAAATATTTCATGGAGTATTATAAAAGATTCTACATTTATGAATATATCTTAAACTCATGGGGCAAATAATAAAGGCATTAGTTTGTGATACTCTATACCTCTTGTAATTCTTGACTGTATAAGGGAAAATAGTTCACTGGGTAATTTTAGAGCAATAGAAGAAGCTAAGTTATAACTTCTCCATTAAGTTCTACCATAAATTCAAAACTGTTTTTCAGGCTGCAGAAGATGTCAATGTTACTTTCGAAGATCAACAGAAGATAAACAAATTTGCTCGAAATACAAGTAGAATCACAGAGCTAAAGGAAGAAATAGAGGTAAAAAAGGTATTGGACATTTCTTTAATTTCAAAAAGTAAGTTCTGCATACCATAGCTCTTTAAAACTTATTTCAGTAAGTATGTCTCTCTCTGGGTTCTTCATTGCCAATGACACAGTCTGCTTTAGTTAGTTTAAACAGAAGTCTTTTGTTTATTTATTTATTTTTGAGACAGCACCTTGCTGTGTAACCCAGGCTCTCCTCAAACTTGCTGTTTTTCTGCTTTGGCCTCCCAATTGCTGGGATTACAGTTGTGTGCCACCACACCTGACTCAGTCATTTTTTAAGAACTGTGATTAACTAATTCACAGAGCCCATTGGCGAGGGCTCTATGTCTAGTCTGAGTTCAGCAGCAAGTTTTAATGCTAAGCCTCTGAGAGAGAGAGAGAGCTTGGCGGGGGATGGAACTGCTTTTGTCTTCCTGATCCCAGAGCTTGTCTCTTCAGTGAGGAAGCGTCCACTGAAGACCTAGGGATATTGAGCTGCTGCTGCTGTCACTGCAGCCTCTGTTATCATGCTGAGGTCTGTGCCCAACCTTTTTTCACACGGCTGTCCTGAGTTGGAAGTCCAGCTCAAGTGCATTGGACTGGTGAGATCTAAGTTATTTGCTTACACCCTGTCAGTAAGCAAGGCTTATTTTAGAAAGGCAGTTTCTTTTTTTTCTTTGCAGTGCTGGGTTTGAACTCAGGGCCTCACACTTGCTAGGCAGCTGCTCTACCACTTGAGCCACGCCCCAACCCTTTTTCTGCTTTTAGTTTTTTGAATGGGGTTTTGCATTTTGACCCAGTCCAGCCTGGGTCATGATTCTCCTGGGGATGTATCACCACACCCAACTTTTGTTGAGATGGGGTTTTGGTAACTTTTTGTTTAGCCTCCAATTGGGATCCTCCTGATCTCTGCCTCCTGAGTAGCTGGGATTACAGAAGTGAGCCACCATGCTGGCCAGAAAGGTAGTTTTCTTTCTGTTTTGGTTTCAGTGGAAAGACAGGAATCACAATGTGGGATATTGCTGAAGTAGGAAAAATTTTGAGTGAGCACAGGGGCACTTGCTGTCCACTATAGAAAGGGTACTTACAGTAATCTTAAAACACCCAGAGACTAGCAGTTCCACAGGAGATGGCTTCTAAATGTAAGAAATTGATTCTTTCACTTGCCTTTGTGAAAGGTTCCCCAGAGAGTTGGTTTTCCTCAGATTCAGATTGGCTCTTAATTCCATCATGGAGCTTTTCATAAATATCTTTTCATCACTGCTTATATTTGCACTTACAGAAACAACTCCAAAATTTAGAAGACGCTTGCGATGACATCCTGCTTGCAGATGATGACTGCTTAATGATCCCGTATCAAATCGGGGATGTTTTCATTAGCCACTCTCAAGAAGAAACCCAAGAAATGTTAGAAGACGCAAAGGTATGTGGGAGTCTGTGCCTCGGTGATGAGGTCTAATTCCCAAATGAGGGTTTATACCACTGTAAAGAATGGGTCACTGTAGGTAGAGGGAAATGATGGCTGCTAGCTGCTAGCTAACCTCTAATGGTCTGTTGGAATACCTCAGGCAGGCTCTTTGCTTTGGCAGCATGGTCTTGTTTAATTTGAATAATGATCTATTATTATCCCAATTTAGAATTAAAAATAGAGGCTCAGAAAGATTATGGGACTCAGAATAGCATGTAGATAGTAGCTTTCTGACTGTTTAAGTGAAATTGCTTAGAAAGCACAGCATGTTATAAAATAGGGGGAAAAAAATTCCCCCTTCCAGAGATCACCATCCGCTAGGAACGTTTTGGTGTATTTGTGTTATGTTTTCTCCCTTTACTTCTCTGTGTGGTTTTGCTTCACGCTTGGGTCAGGTAATGCTGGCGGGAGCAGCGTTAACTTCTCTTTCTATGTCATGCTTCTTTATCCAGCAGGTATTCATTGGGGACCTGCTTGGGGCCAGCCACATAGGCTTTAAAAATGTCACTGTTTTATGATTTGCTTACTGTCATTCTTGATACCATGTTGATAGAACATTGATCTGGCTCACTGTGTTCCTAGTAACATTATTTGGTTCTCATATTTTGCTTTAGTAACATCACAGATGCATTTTTATACGTGTATCTTTGGTCAGGTATAAATTGTTTTGAGGAAATAACCTGAGAAGTGTGATTATGGGTCAGAGTATGGATTCTTTGGCAATATTTGAGGCATTTGATACATCAGATGAAATTATTTCTAATTCACGTGCTTCCATTGTCTGGGAGAGAGGCAGCTGCACTGGATATGCTTCCTAGAGCTCTTGCTCAGTTAACTTGAGCATTACGTGAGGTGACAGGCTCCCTTCTTCAGATGCCTGAATGCACAAACTTACCAGAAGGTAAGCTGGCATCTAGTGAACCTTGTGAAGAATTAATACTTTACTCCTGGGTATTTCCATGTAGAAACATACATTGGATGTCTCCATTATGTTTAAATCTTTCTTAGTCAAATCTTATGGGTTTTTTTTTCCTTTTACCCACTCTAAAATGCTTATGTAGGAAGTCCTTTGACATAGTATGTATTTTTTCTGGATTTTGTGAGTGCCCCTGTCCACCCGTACATATAACTCCTGGGCCTTTATTTTGTTTTAATTCACTCATTCATTCCAGAAGTAGTTTATTAGTGTTCCCCTGTGTCGTGTTCTACCATGCATCAGGCATGTGAGGGACAGCAGAACATGCTTGCTTCCTGCCTATGTGGAGCATTCAGCCCACATGAGACAAAATGGAACGAGAAACTAACAATGAGTACAAATGGCCTGGGACAGAGGCAGCTTTCAGGGAATCTGGACTGTGCTAGTCTAGACTTCAAGGGTCAGGAAGGGCTCCCTGGGAAAGTGATGAGATAACAGCTGAAGAATAAAGCAGGTGTTAGCCAGAAAGAGGGTGGTGGGTATTCCCGTCAGAAGGAGCAGCATGTGAGGGGGTCATCAAACAGTCACTGTGCAAAAACAGAGCCAAAAGTGTTTTCTTCACTGGAGGCTCGGGAGCATCTGAAAAATGGCTGGATCTTGGCGAAGTCTGTCAACTGAGTTGAATAAATTCTTCTTTGTTTCAGATCAGGACTCAACAGACTTTCCGTGAAGGGCCAGGATGTACATATTTTAGGCTTTGCCTCTTCATAGATTTTATGGGAAGTTAGGAAAGGCTGTGTTATAAGCCATCGGGTCTGCGATAAACTGTTTGCAGAAGTCTCTGTTTGTGGTGCTTTCTTTATTACGATACGATAATTGAGGAATTGGCTTTTATAACTATTACGGGTTTAAGATCAGCAAAAATTAAGAAATCCATCATGACTTACTCTGTGGTAGGCAGATGTGAATCTGAATGAAAAGCACTCCCTTCTAGACTTTTGTTTGCGCTCTGATTATCATTGTGATTCAGCTGCCTATCCACGTTTAGAAAATTCTTGAGCTAAAATTCTTCCCAAATATTATTTCACACACAGATGCTTAGAAATTGCCCAATTGAATAGGATTAATTTAAGCTATTCTTCTTTTCAGAAAAATTTGCAAGATGAAATTGATGCCTTAGAATCCAGAGTGGAGTCGATTCAGCGGGTGTTAGCAGATCTGAAAGTTCAGTTATATGCGAAATTTGGCAGCAATATAAACCTTGAAGCTGATGAAAGTTAAACATTTTATAATACTTTTTTTAATTTGTCTAATAAACTTGAATATTGTTTTAAATGATAATTTCCCTTCTTCAAATGACATGGAAAGGAGAACTTTCTTTTTTAAGATTTTCATTTATTTAATGGAAACTTGCCTATTTTCACACGTCTTGCTTATTTATTTTATATTTTTAAAAGAAGACAGTATTCATCTATGTATTTTGCATAATGATTATATCAATTTTAGGGGTTTTATGTCATGTTATTAAAATCGGTTCAGCAATCTTCTGTTTCTATATTATTATTTAGAATACTTGTGGTTTTCACGTACGAGAAAATTTAGCAGCTGTGTCCTTTTGCTTCTGTGTCAGATTCCTTTTCTCAGGGTGGCAAGAGCCCAAGAAAAATAGGTACAGTCCTGCACCTGCCTCCTCAGCGTACTTCATAACTGAAGCTGCCTCGTGTACTAAAGACTGTGTACATGTTTAAAAACATTTAATGTATGTATTATAAACACACGTTAACATGTCTTTCATATTTCGGTATCACAGATGTTGGTAAAAGAATGGGTAATGTTCAGACATGTTGAGGCACATTCATCTTCCAGAACAAGAAAGGAACATTCTAGAAACCAAGAAATGTATCCATAGAAAAAAAGTTTAGTGTTTTTAAAATTGTAAGTTTTAGACTTTATTTTAGTGTGTTGGTAGTTATGGGATCTATATAGATAGTAGTGTGGAAGTGATGCAGGTGTATGTTTAAGGCTTATTTATAATGAAGAGTACATTGTCTCCAGTCCTTTTCCTGTCCCTCTCAACAAAGATAAGCTTTGGGATTTGAAAGACTTACAAGTATTAACTTTCCAGCAGATGGCACTGATACGCCAAAATAGCAGTGGAGGGATTGTAATATAAAAATGAGGATATTTTTAGAATCGTACGTAATTTAAAAGAAACATTTTAAAGCTTCAATGCTATAAACACTGCATATGGGTTTTCTTGGCTGTTTATAGACATTTATTCAAGCTTAAAGATAGAAGAATATATAATTTCTAAAGTTGTTAATAACATAAAGGCAAACATAATTACTGCAAAATCTTACCAAGCAGTGCTATTCAAGTTCTGGAAAATGACTGCTACAAGCTATTTTTTGCATGTGTTTGTTTAATATTCGGTTAGGGGAGTGAGAGTGGGGAGGTAATTCAGCCAGGTTGCAGAAGGAAATAAATAACACTCAGAATAATTTGAGAAAATTTTGGCCAAGATTACAATGGTGAGGCTTATCACAGCAGCCCTTTATGCCCTCCAAGGCCGGGGAGGGAGCAGTTACCCCTACACTGTGGAATGCAAGGACACTGTCACATCCTGCAGTGACAGAGCCAGGGTGAGATCTCAGTCTCATTCGCTCCAAAACCCAACTGGAATTCAGAGGAGGTCTTAAAAGTCACCTGGTAGGGGAGGTAAGTGGATGGGTTTGGAGGCGCCAGCAGAAGAGGGGGACTAAAGTTTACCTGTTGAAGAATTTTAATGACCACTCACCTGACTTCTGTGCTGGGAGACAATTCTGTAACTGGCTGGGACTAATTTTGTTGGGCGCACAACCAAGTAAACCTAATGCCAAATTGAATCTCCAGCAGCAGTGGGTGTGGGGAGAGCAATATTCACTTATTTTTCTCAATTTCCCTGTGAAATTTTAGCACATCAGAAATATGTCCATTTTAAGCTCATTTTAATGTGTCATTAGCTTTATGTTTGTTGGTAAATTCATCAGGCTCAATAAAGATTGGAAACTGCACTTCTGAAAAGGGACAGTAAGGAGTGTCACTCCAGCCAGGAGCTGCCACACAGAAGTTCTGATCTGGGTTTGTTATGGCTATTTTTTTAGTCAGGAATTCTGATTTTTTTTTTTAATGTGCAATCACTAGTTTCAGGCAGTGCAACTATTGTTTTTGAAGCATTGCAGGTTAAACAAAAGATTCGTTCAATAAATTTGACCAGAGGCTGTGAGTTTGCAAACTCTTGTGCACAGTATGATACATCAAATCCAGGCTTTCGACAGGAAGGAAGATGATTCTCGTTGTGCTGAAGTCTTCTGAGCTGCTACACAGAGATGGAGGGAGCGATGCTAGGTCACTGTGCCTCCTCCAGTACATGCGGTGATTTGGCAGAAGAAAAGGAAGGCTAGTGCTTGAAGACGAGGTGAAATGTAGGTTCTGGTAGTGATTGGAGAAATGGAGGTGGTGGGAAGAGGAGAAAATCAAGCAGTGGCTTCGAGCACAGTCCTGAGAGAGAAAATGACTCAGGGAGAACACAGGTGGGAGGAGAAAAGCGGTAAAGGAGACCAGCTGCAAGAGTGAAGGCTCCTAGCTGAGTACAGCTGATGTGACCTTTGTGCAAGAAGGAACATAGAATTTTTAACCCTGTCGAAATCATCAGAAAAGGACTAAGGTAGAAAGAAAAATAGAGGGGATGAACCAATTCGGGTTTAATACACATATACATGCAAATGTCACAATGAAACTCCCTGTATAGCTAGCTATCTTAAACAAAAATACCTTTTTTTCAAAAACAACCGGAAGGTAAAATAGGTCCTGTCTAGGGTTGGTGCCAGTGGGAAGGGGCAGACGTAGGGAAAGAGTGTAGGAGGTGAATGTGGTGGAATATTATGTACTCGTATGAAAATAGAAAAATGAGACCTGTTGAAACTATTCTAAGACTGGGGGGATAGGGGTTAAAGGAGAATGATGGAGATGGTAAATTCAACTATGATATATTGTAAGAATTTTGTGTCACAATGTACCCCCAGTACAACAATAACAATAATAAAAAGAATGTAGGCTTCTAGAGGCTCAACCCTGAGGTTGAAGGCAGGAGGGAGTAGTGAACAATGTGCAGCATTACAGAGGCCACACACAGCTGTTTTGAAGGCTAAGAGGTTTTTAGCTTCCTTTAAAAAAAAAAAGGATGAACCCAGTCCACCCTCACACACACACCTTAGTGCCTCCTGCACTTGAAACTGCCTCACAGGACGGTGATTCCCTGTGTGGTTAGAAAAGCCTTCTGTGCAATGTGACTATCTTCAGGTGCAAAGGCTCAAAATATAGTGAAATCCGTGAAATCCGTCTCTGGTTCAGAGGTTCTCAACTTTGGTTCACTGGGCAGTGATGTTGAATGTCAATAGAACTTGCCTTTGAAAACCTACTTCGTAGAGTCTGTGGACAGAGCCATGTGTTTTACAAGACATTGTTTTACTGTGTCCTCCAAAAAGTTTGTGTGTTGGAATAAGCCTTTTTTTTTAATGCAATGGTGAGGTTAAGAAGTGATTAGGAGCCAGGCGCCGGGTGGCTCATGCCTGTAATCCCAGCTACTCAGGAGGATCACTGTTTGAAGTCAGCCTGGGCAATTCGATCGTGAGACCCTATCTTGAAAATACGTAAAACACAAAAAAAGGGCTGATGGAATGGCTCAAGGTGTAGACCCTGAGTTCAAGCCCCAGTACTAAAAAAAAAAAAAAAAAAGAGGTGATTAGGCCATGGGAGCTCTGTCCTCATAAATGGATCAAAATTTTTTTTTATTACAGGTGTGTTTGTTATCATGAGTGGTTTTGTTATGAAAGTGAGTTTGGCCCCCTCTTTCTTGCTCTTGCCCTGTCTTGTCCTTCCACCTTCTCCTGTGGGATGACACAATACAAAGGAGCCAGATGTTGGCTCTGTGCATTTGAACTTCCCAACCTCCAGAACTGTGAGAAAGAAATTTCTGTTCTTTACAAGTTATCCTGCCTCAGGCATTCTGTGATAGCAGCACAAAGGAACTAAGACAAAAGCCTGCAGGTAATTCTGACTTGGCAAAACAATTGTCTTGGCTCAAATAATACAGTCCTTTTGGGGATCCACAGTAGAGATTGGAGCCCCAACTGAGAATTCTAAACTCAAAGTTTAGATTAGTGATGGAGAGGGTAACAAGATTGGGTAGCAACAAGAAGGTTGATGCACACAGCTTAGGGGTGGAGGGCAGCTGGAGGCACCCTGGTTTCTTGTAGTAAGCAGAGGGCAATGTGAGACCTGGAGACAGGAAGTGAAGAGTATTTTTACAAGAAAGGTAGCAGTGGAGGAAGGAGGTAGACTGCTACTTAATTCCCTGCTGTGTGTATAAAAAAGCCTTAAAAAAAGATTAGGGAATATTGAGTCCAGGGAGTGGATGGGAGGGACCCAGAGAGAATGGTTGGAGCCCAGCGAGGAATAGAAAGATGATGTAATGGTTCTACAAATGGCACAGTGGAGACAGGTGAGGTGTGCATCTTATAAAATTCTTCTTTCAGGAGTAAATAATGGAAAAAATTAGAACAGTAGCTGACTAGAGGGGGAAGAAGATATGGTGAGGAAACCATGACAGGAGGCTTCAATAATCTGTGTGTTCTATTCTTTGAGCTGGGTTATGTGTTCACTGCAAATATATATATTTGATGATACTGGGGCTTGAACTCAGCACCTCTTGCCTGCTAGTTAGGTGCTCCACCACTTGAGCCATGCCTTGCCCTTGGCCCTTTTCTGCAGTAGGGTCTCTTGCATTTTTGTCTGGGGCCTCAGACTATGATCCTACTTGAGCACTGGGATCACAGATGCTTGCCACCTGTTGGGCTTACTGATTGAGATGGGGTCTTGCTAACTTTTTGCCCGGCTGCCTCAAACCTAGGTACTGATCTCTTCCTCTTGAGTACTTGGGGATTACAGGCATAAGCCACATGCCCTGCCTTCAATTTGTTTATTATGGGTTATTTGTGTGTTAGCCTCATTTTTCAGTCAAGAAACCCTTGAGGAAGTTTATGCTGTGGGTCAGTGCTGAACTGGGCTCTGCAGCTCTGCAGGACTTCACTGTGTCCTTCATTGTGCATCTGACTGCAAGACTCATCCGTCATTGCTTCTCCAAAGGACTCATATGTGAGAGAATGCACACCAGGCCTGGGACAGAATAAGGACTCAATAAATATTGTCTGTAGTGTTTATGATGAAACGGGCTCAGAGAGTTTGCTCAGGCCACATAGTTAGGTGCATCGCCTTTGTGCAGATCTGACCTGGGTTCTGTCTTGTGGACCTGATGGTAAGAGGCTCTAGCTACCCTGGCCACAGAAGTTCCATGGATGCTGGGCAGGTTTACTTTCCTGAGCCTCTTCCTCTGCAAAACACACATTAAAAAGTG